ATTTGCACATGCAAAACAAAAGCACGACAATGATCCTGGCCAAGCAGAGATCTGGGACATCTTTACCTGGCGAGGTGCCACCTTGGCTCTGCTCCTACAGTCTGTTCGGCCAAGCAGAGATCTGGGACACCTGGTGAGGTGTCACCTTGGCTCTGCTCCTACAGTCTGTTGGCTAGATAGAACCACCTTACAGTTCTAGGCCTCTAGCAGAGTTTGGTAAATCCTAGTGTGATTGAAGGCAACTTCAGTATGAAACTCCACAGATCAGCAGTTGTAAAAAGCTTCCTTTTGCCTCAATACACAGGGCAGGTCATGGCCTAGAAGCCTACTGCCCCCAGCTGGTACACAGATCCATCTTGGTTCCTGAGGTGCCACCTCAGGAACAGCCAGGACAGCCTGAATGCTATGAAGACTGCTGTGTCACATCACAGCACACTAATACAGGCTGCAGTATGGCTGCCACTGATGAAGATGTGCATCACAATCTCTTCTCTCTCTCCCTGGACCAAAGAGGCATTTCTCCATGGTGCTGGTTACCTCCGAAGGTTCACTGACCTCATGTTTCACAGAGGGTAAAGTAACTCCAGCTCTTTCCTTGCAAACTGAAACCTCGGGAGGTAAGCAGTCCAAAAAGCAAAGCAAGATGTAATGTGGCTTATATATATCCTTCCTGTGTTCAGGAAGGATAAGAACCATACCTAGGGCAAGGAAATTAAGTGTTCAAGTACACACCAGTTCTACATGCTAACTCATATATTCCAGAGTGACAGTTTGCCAGCAGGATCATACCAGGTATTTAAAAGAAATACACTGGACTGTAGATCTCCCTAATGTTATTCCTCATCCTCCAGCAGCTGAGTCCAGTACATTCTGCTCTTATCATTCAGTTGCAAAACTGAGCTACCAATACAATTTGAAGTCAGGCAGGGGACATTTGTAAGGCCATTTGTACACTCCTCGTATAGCGAAACAGACCAGTGTTACCTGTTTTGCTGTTCTGTGGTAAAGGTTTGAAATGACTGGCAATAGCTAACAGTCATTGTGGGTCCAAGTCTAAACAGCTTGGTTCACTCTTCTATCACAGAAGCACCTAGTTTGCAGTGTTCTTTTGGGAAGGATCCAATTTGGAATGTATGCATTACTGGCACTGAACAGAGAGACTGAGACAACGTGGCCATAAATGTCACATGAGATCTTGAGCTGAATACTTTAGCAAAATTTAGAGAAGTCGCAGTAAAATGTCAGGAAAGAACTCTGTAACACACAGCTCACACAGACCAGCCCACAAAGGCTATGGGTCTCACAGCTGGGAGCATCCAGGGCAGAGATGGAGTGGGATTATTTCTAATGTCTTTCACGGGAAGGGCCAGGAGCAGGAGGTGGTGCAGTCCCTGCTCTGGCAGCCGAGGTACTGCACCTGGCGGGGAAGCTTGTTCACGGCTCGCAGGTAGTCTTTGTCTAGGATGCAGTTCCCAAGAGCATTCCCAAAGCACCTGAGAAACAAGAAAGCTGTGACTGAAAATAACTCTTAATTCACTTCTGAAAATGTACAAGTACTGATCATGACCTACTTGAGTGCTCTCTTCAGTCCATCTGTTACTGCCTCCTTTCTTGCCTTTTCTAAGGATAAGGCCTTAGACTTGAGGCCTTCACTGACTCCATATCCCACATCTTCATGGTATGACCCATCCTGCAGGGAAGTTTTCAAAGTACTAAGTAAGTATAAGGGAATTTCTACACATACAGCACTTGTTGTTAGGTGCTGTGCATCCCTAAGCCTGGTTACTTGCTCTTAGCTGGTTGTGCTATAGCAAGGTCAATATTTTGGACACTGCTAGGTTCCCCAATTCAGTCCAGTCCTCAAGGACCATTGTCTGGCCTATGCATGGACTTACTTTCATTCACAGCTTCAGGCAATGGCTCAACTATAGACAGAGCAAAAAAAAAAAGTCCACTTACCTTAAGCTGAACTTTGACAAAAGCACAGACACCCACATAGAACCTGCCGTTGTTCAGGTCAACAAAGTCTGGGGGAGGGAAAAGTAACAACCTGATGAAGGTGTGAGCCCTTTTTCTACTCAGGATTTTAAAACATTACAGAATCCTCTTGCTCTGAATTTCTAAGGAGTGACTTGTTGTAGGACTACTTAAAAAGAATTGAAGTTTGAAGGATGTCTGTCCTTTCTTGGGAAAAAAAACGTGGTGCAGAACAGATGGAAAGCAATGGAGTAAGATGTTCTATTTCTAGAATCTACCAGCCTGAGGTAAGAAAAGATTTTTGAAGGTGAGAGAGAAGGAAAAAGGTACATTTAAGCAGCTGCTTTGACCTACTTCAACCATCAGTCTTCAGTATAGGCACAGCAGATCTGCAAACAAGGACAACACTCCTCTGGTAGGTAATATTTCAGCTATCAAGATAGAACAGGCTTAAGCCTGAAGATCACTTGAACATCATATTATAGTTGAAAAATGTTTCCAAAGCTTTCTATTGTAAAAATCTCAGTACTAGGTATTAGCTAGAAGAAGAATCTGCAGGAAAAGATGGGTCCCTAAAGATTGGGGAAATATTAACTGAGACTATGAACTGGTCAGAAAATGAAATTCCAGGTGAGCGTGAAAGCTGGCTCAGGGCTGCTGGGTCTTAAATGGTTTAATTCTAATTACTCTTGACTGAGTGTTCCCATAGAGATCAGAAACCTGATTATAATAGTTCAAGAATAATCATAAACACACTTAGAATAATGACTGTGACATATACCAGTGCAAGCTCTAAAGAGAAATACAAAAGTTCCATTATTAGTCAATTTCTTTTTTACTAACTGGCAATCTCACATGCCTCTCCTCAGACTCCAGGAAGATACCAAGTGTAGATACCCTGGTCCTTATCTGAGAGACTTTTCCTCCAGTGTCTCACAGAAACAAGAGGAAAGACTTCTTTATGCTGGAGAGGCTCTTACCAACGTTCTGCTGAGTGACCGAGTGAGCCCAGCCATTGAAGCCAAACATCTCATTGGCTAGACTGATGACCTTGTGACCCTCAATGTAACAGACCTGGGGACACAAATATGTATATAAGTACACAGGTTAATAGAACAACGAACATGACTTCATCAGTGGAAGGCAGAGCTAGTGGGCACTAAAGATGGTAAATGCAGCCAGTGTTATATAATGCTTCATACAGTCCAGCTCTGGGAAAAAATAAGGAAGACATCTCAGTGTTGCACAAGCAGATAAACATTCCCGTGAAAAGGATGAAGCACTGGAAAAAGTAAGCACTTCTTAACGTGCAGAAGTAGCCAGAATTTATGCCACGCTGACTTTGCATTCGTAACTGTTAGTGGGAAATCAACATCAAAAAGTAAGAGGTGTAGTAACTTTTGACGCTGGTTTTCCTGGAACAAAGCTTGGCTGCCACACCTGTGTGTGTTCCTACCTTCTGCCCCCCTCCAGCCTGCCGACTGCTGATGTAGTCTGGGCCCAGCCTCTGGCGCAGCGCGTGCTGGATGGCTTGGTACTCGCTCGCTGTGTACTGGCACTAGGAACACAAGGCAAAGCAAGGCTTCTTACTCTCTCTGCTTTAGCTCCCTCTCTCCTCCTAGTGCCACCTCTTTATGCCAGTCCTTCCACGAGGCGGATGATCCGTTTTTAGAACCAGGATACAACAGACAATAAAGGACTCAGGGTATGCGTGTGCACTGCATCTTTTTTCCCCCCTTACCCTTGATGCATACAAGCATTAATTATTGAGCCGTAGCTATTATTTTTCATCAATAGCCCTAGTCAAGCTTGCCAGGAACACACACATATACAAGCTTCTATTTTACCTTTCAAAACCCAAACATAGTATGTCTGTGACCAGCAAGAAAAGTGTAGTTAAAAACTGCAACGCAACCAAAGATGAACCTTACTCCCACACCACATGCCACTGGGGCTGGGAGGACAGCAGCTCAGGCAAGCTGGCAGACCAGGAATTTCTTGAGGAGTGTTCAACAAATTTCCCTCGGGCAGGGAAGGCCTTTTGGATAATTCCAACATCACTGGTAACATCATTGGAAGTGCTGTAACTTTTGCCCCTTGCCTTAATAGAAATACAAGTTACAATCTGTAAAGGTTAGAGAAGCCTAAACGTGTGTTTAGGGATTTGGGCACTAAAAGTTTTGTGTTATGCTCTGACGTGGGACAGAACAGAGGTTTCATGACCTAAATCTTAGCCCTGTGTATGCATTTATTGGCTGTCCTATCAATTCAGCAGAGCACAGAATCTGATAGTGTGTGTGCCACAAATGCCAACACCTTTCATAGCTGAAAGTAGTTGACTTTTCTGAACCAGTACTGAGAACACGGGAATAAGAGAGAATGAGACCCACTTTCAAGGCACAAGAGTAAAAGCATTCTGTGAAGCATCCAGAGCAAGTGATTATAACTCCAGACATGCTAAAGCTATTGTGGAGGAAAAAGGTAATGTACAATTAGATGTAGCATAACTCCAGCCTGACTGTGTCCAGTTTTGTAATGAATAAGCATGCAGAGCAGATTTCCAAAGCATGAGCTTAATAAAACCTCTGTTTTCCTCTGGGGCCAAAGGAACTGACCTGTCCGAAGCATAAATTGCTAGTGCTGGAGCTATTGCTGCTGCTGGAGCTTTCACCATTCTTCCCTTGGCTTTCAGGCATCCCTAAAGGTAAGAGAAAATACATCACTGGAGATAACAGAACTGACAGTCCATATGAAGACACGGCAAAAAGCTGTTATGTCCACTCCCTGTGAACGTCACGATATCCTGTACTAGATGTGTTGGACATTACAGTAATGTTGTATTAGCAATCCATGGAACTGCTGCATCTCCAGTGGAAAATTTGTTTTCTGATGTTTCACAGCAGTCAAAACCTTTCTTTTTCAATGTATTATGCTAGGTAAGCAGAAATGGCTACCTTCATTGTAGAAGCAGAGGATGCCTGGTCTTCCATCCATAAAACCAGTCAGGGTGAGTCTACATTAAACTATTTGACAACAGTGCAACAATTGCTTTATTTAAAGAACAAATAAATTATTCTTGCTAGAAGGATCCTGTACAAGATCAGAGATGAGAAGAAAAAATTAATAATGTCTTGAGTCCTTATTCTAAATATTACACTGGTAACCAATCTCTTTTTTTTATCTTTCAGGTGAATGTGAGTGCTCTGTACCATTCTAGGGAAGGAAAACCAAAAGAGTTCCCTCTTTGAGATTCTTCAGCACTTCCTGGAACACTTCCAATATCCATTAATACTTAGACGATGCTAAAAAGCAGAGGCAACTTTCTAAAACTTGACTCATCCGTTTCCTGACTCATCAGCCTTTCTTTCAGATCGCTGACTGCAATCACACTGTCTTGTGCTAGGCTGGGACCACATAAACCATGCAGAGTGGAACAGCACACAGAACGTGTAGGAGCTGTGAGAAGTGGTGGCAGTAATTCAGCAGATGGCACCCTCTTCCAAGCCAGGATCCAGCAGTCCCAGCACTGCACTGCCACTGCTGCAGCAGTGCAGAGCCTGTACCCCAGCCGTGCCAAGGAGCTGCAGCTGCACTGCCAAGCAACCCACACAGGCACAAATGCTGAGCACACCTAGGAGCCCAGTACTCAGGCTTCTGTATGCAATACAAATGTAAGGCAAATGAGACACACAAGCCATCTGGAGATATTAAAACAGTTTGAGACAGTCTGAAACCTGCCACAGACAGCACGATTTGACAGTCAGTACTGGCCAGTATTATGCCTTGCTAACATGTTCTGGGTTCACCAGTTTTCAAGGTTGTTTTTCTAGTTTCTAAACAAGGAATCCAAAGTTTACCAAGAACTTGGCAAACAATCTTCAGAAAAGGGATCAGAGTTGTTTCCTTGGCAAACTAGTTGTTCCCTGGCAATTATGCCAGGTGCAGCTAAAATTCTCCTGAATTTTGCTTGGCTAGAATTCTTCATCTTCAGTCCAAAAGTTCATAGAATCAACCTGGTTGGAAGTTGTATAACTGTACAGTGTTAATATATTTGACTGTGTTTCAATGAGAAGTTAGCTGCAATTTGTGGTAAATACATTTGATTTCAGAAAAGAACAAATAGAAAACAACGTTAGCAGGAGAAGCACTTGTGATTTAAGCAACTATTTCCTCTGTTCAGCGAAGAATTTCTTGTATTGGGAGGGAGAAAACTAGAGAGTAAAAAGGGAATCAAAGTTTGAACAATGCCACTGCCCAAACTGCCTAAATCAGCTCTTAACCATCATGAGGCCTTGGGACAACCCATGCCTGAAATGTGTGCATTTGCCCACAGAACCCAATTAGCAGCTTCTGCACAACAGGGGTCTCAGTTAAAGTGCTTGAAGTTTTTATATGGTGTGAACCAAGATCAGTGCAAATTTATTAAAGAGATACAGACTTAATGAAATTCTGAGTAAGACAGAGGAGTTGATTCTGAATGAGAACGAGGAAGTGCAGAATTCTGCTGAGAACAGCAGTTGGTTTTAATCCAACAGATCAGAAGCTGCTAGGGGGTACCAGCAATATACTTACCTGCAACAGACAGTTTTAAAGCATGTCAGGGGCTTGTATTCAAATGTCATCTGACTCCAGTTTGTGCGAGGGAGACAGATGATGCCAGCGCAGCCTCAGGCTTTACCTGCAGAGCAGTGGTGAGCCTTGTTTGAATTATCAGAGCAATGTGCTGGGTTTGGCAGTCGGTGAAGTGCAGTGCAGCAGAGCTCTGTGTCCCAAAGCAATTGTCACAGCATTTCCAAGTGACAGAACCTCAATTTCAGAATTATTGGAGTAGGAGTTTGGAAGAGAGAGACATTGATTCTGCAGAAGGAGCAATAAATCTATCTCAGCACCAGAGCCAGGAGCTAGGGAAGGCAAGGAACTTCCCTCCTCAGAGGAATATTGTTTCCTCACCCCCCATAAAGTTTTAACTTAGGCGAAACAATACTGAACAAGATAACAAGCTATTGACTAGAGTACCAAAGAGCATGGAATCCCTCCCAGGGCCAGGAGTGCTAGGAGGCTGCCTGACTCATTAAGCAGTGTTAAAATCCTCTATTTTTAAACCATCTTGAAATATTAAAAATGAACATTCAAATATACTTGCTCTGTTTGCAAGATAATACAAACAGTTTACCATCACTTTAAAGGTGGCTAGGAATTATCAAGTGTTACTCCTGTGACTGTGACTGGTATTTATCATGTACAGGGAATTCTTAGCAGCTGGTAATATCCTCAGCAGGTTTCATCACTTGAGAAAAAACACATACAAAAGACTAGAAGTGTTGCACAGTACTCCAAAACACAACCTTGATAGACTAGAACAGGTAAAGAAACTTAAAAGCCTTTACCACTCCCATATTTTGATCTTATCTTTTTTAAAAAAAAAGTCAGTACCACAAAAGCTTAACATTTGAACACATTAGGTACGCGGACAGGAAAAAAAGTCTGTTTTGTAAAACTGGATATGAAATACTAATTTTCAACAGCACTCTAGGTGCTTATTTGTATGGTAGCAGTGAACTGAGCAGCTAATGAGGAAAATCTGGGTGTGTACACAAATTCCTGTGCAGGAAATAAACCAACCTCCTAGAACAGAAAATCCTGAATTCAATCTGTTCGACTACAACTACCACTGTAGGGCACAGCAGCAACTTCGCCTTCCATGACAGCATACACATAACTTCTCCTTTTCTAAATTAACACATCTTTCTGTCCTACTCTCCATTACTCCCAAAAGATCTATTTTCGTCCTAAATCATCTCTTTTCCTATCAGTTCCCTCTGTCTTGACAAACTAGGTTTTTGAACCGTGTGCTGTGCCTTATGCTGTGCTAGGAGTGCCAGTTCCCAGTGCTCTTCACACATAAGGTGGAAGGAGGTGGAAATAGTCAGAGTACCACAGCCAGGGACATGCTTGGCCCGAGCCTGGCTGTCCCAAGGAACTCATCGCAGCATCACACAGTCTCTCACACACTGTGACCTTTCAGAGGGCTTCTCCTTCAGCCTCATCCTGTCCATATGCTAAGTGAAGTCACTTCACACTGGAGCTTTGGTTTGCTGAGTAAAAATCTTCCACATTCTTTCCATAAGTGCAATTCCACTGAGTCCACCAAGAGCAAACAGCTATGCATGTAGCAACAAGTGATTTAGCAAGCACTGAAGATAATGCCACAGTTTTAGCCTAAGATTGGTATTACTCTTAGAAAACAGACAAAAAAACTTGAGGCATTTTCAGTTTCTGTGGAGTTTCTCTCGTCTGGGAACTCCAAACTATTTTATAAGTTGATTTACTTGTTATGCAAAGGCTGCTTTGCCTGGCACTGAGCTGAGGTGTAGCTCTTTGAAGTACAGTGAGGTAGATGTTCCTGATGAAGACAAACCTGTGCTACACCAAAGTTTGGAGAGTGGAAAATAGCTGATGGAATTGCTGTGGAAAAGCTGCATACAATAGAACTCTTGGTTTTGACTTGGGATATCTCTAGGTAAACAACCTTGATGACCTGAGAAAAGGGAGGTAATGTTCTGTTAACTTCAACAGAAGGACAAGATATTCAGTGTTTTATAGATCAAGGGAGATCATGAGACTGATGTCTGCTGTAGACTGAAGGAGGCCTCTGATGATGCCAATACCTTATCAATGCATCCTACTGGTATTCATTCAGGCCACACTCTGTGGCAAGAGGAGGAAGATATCATAGAAAGTCTGAGCTACCTGCAGTAGCTTCAATACATTTGCTTTCAAGGCATACAAAGGCCACTCTGACAAGTTCTCCTCAGTTACAGCACCTGTCAGATTTGATGTGCCTTCGAGCAGTCCCACTCAGTCAGTGGAATCTATGTGGCACCAAAGGCACAGTTTAACTCTTAGATTTCTCAGGCAGTACTGTGTTTGTGTTTGGTATGTCTAGGATGATGATACCTTCCCTCCACTAAACAGAAATCACTAATTCCCATTCTGGTTTTACTGACATTTTAATGAACACAGAGAAAGCTCTTCCTTAATTTTATATAGGCTGTTTTTGTTTGCTGTTTTAAAATTCAGCATCCCTTGTCATTTTTACCTTACAAAGGGTCCATGAAGTTTCGTTAGTTAAACATGCATCAATATCTGATGACCTTATAAAGAGAAATCCATGTAACAATAACCAGTGGGCTGGGTTTGTAGCAAGGGCTGCTCTGTGTTACTGCACCAAGGGGTACAACTGAAGGAGAAGAGAAACTTGTTTGATGTACAAGTTCTTTTCCAGGTGTGAAACAGCAACATCTCACAGTTACAAATCCCAAAGTGAATGATCTGCTCCTGAAGGAGCTTCCCATTCCTAGAGACGAAGCACAAGAGAAGAGCTTGTTCCGGAGCCCAGAGCTGGCAGAAATATTACTCAAATACTGTGAATTATTTACATGGGTACTTCTTTCTAAAAGCCTGTCAGACTGATTTATAGCCACATCATTTATGTATAAGTCACTTCAGTCCTTGCAAGGGAAAGACAGCAGACTTTTTAACCCAAGAGTAATGGTCTGGGACTCCAAGGGAAAAGCAGCCTGTCCCATTGCACCCAGAGAGCCTGCAGATATGCCAAATGCAATTACCAGACAAGCAATTATTCCAAGCTGCACGCTGAAACATCTGAACTTTGTGAGAGCCGTGGGAGATCTGT